TTGCTTCGCACGGGTGCTTCTCCACAGCACAAAACACCAAATCCCCACAGTCTGACGTGGCTGAAGCCTCCAGTTTTGCAACCAGCACAAAGCACCCTTTCCTGCAGTGGGATCAACTGCTGCTGTGATTATAACACCAAATATTCTGGCATCCAAATAAAACTGCTCATCCTGGCAGGACTGGAGCAGCAGCCTGTTCTGCACGGGCTTGCTTTTGTTTTGACACCATTTTATGACAGCAGCAGGGACAGTCCCACATTTGATTTATAAGCAGCCATTTTTTTTCCCTAATGGGATGGATATTTTGAGCCTGTGAGCTGAGCAGTGCTGTGCCAGAAGTGAACGTCACGTGAGCCAGTTCACTCTGGGTGCAGCATGTAAATAGCTGACAACAACCTGACAGCCTCAAAGCAGCGCCTGGTTTGAGAAAATGCTGCTGCTGGGAGAACCTTCCTTGTCCACGGAGCCAGCATGTTTGCCCTGCTTGAAGATGAAGCATCTTGGCCGTGTCTGGGCAGTGAAAGGGAAATGAGCTGCAGGTTTCCAGCGTGTGGCTGCCCATGCACGCTCCTGCGCGTGGCTGCGCTGGTGTCTGCTTGCTGGGGGTGCTTCCATCGCCTGTGCCAGGGGTTAGCTCTGAGTGTGGGAGGTCTGCAAGGCAGAGCTGGCAGGGGAATCTCTTCCCGTGCTGCATTTCTGACTTTGCAAAGCTGCTGCAGTGTTTGGAAGGCAGGCAGTGGGAAGGGATCCATGTGCAGGTGCTGTCTGTAAGCAGAGAGGTGTCTGTGTGCTCTGCTGGGGCAGGAGCGGAGGCTGGAGCTGTTCCTGGGGTCTGTCCCATGGTGGTCTGTCCTTGTCATCCTGTCAGCCCTGTCAGGATCTCCTTTCCCAAACTGCCCCAGCCTGTGAGGTGCACCACATCCTTTAGCCCAGTGGCTGTGCCAGAGCAGGAGCTGTCACCTCCCTCCCAGATAAACTCATTCCTGGCCAGTTTCTAAAAACATGTCTCTGTGTCAGTGCTGTCCTTCGGCTTCACTTTATTTTTTTTCTCCCCATGCTGTTTACTCAATCCCTGGGGTATTTATAGCTGGCCACGGATCACCTGATAGCTTTTCTCCTTCTAGGATAGGAAAACTGAGCCCTCCCTGCTCTTGCTGAGGCAGAGGGTTCCCGTGACCCCAAACAGCCTTGGAACCCTCCTCATGCTCCTCCCCGTCACAGTTTGTGTTTCTTGGACACAGCAGCCAGGTCTGGGTGCTGAGGTCTCTTGGGTCTCGTGCTGCCTCAGCCTTCTTCTACCTCTGTTAAGCACCTGGCACCAATCCAGGCTGTCTTGTTTTCTTTGGGCTTTTTGTTTGTTTGTTTGCATTGGCTTAAATCCACTTTCCAGCTGTTGAAACGTTTGATCCCTCTCCCACAGCCAAGGAGTTTCCTATTCCCACCCACCACAGGGATGGAGTGGTGGGGACACGTCCGTCTGTCTGGGGCCCTCTGCTTCCTCTGGGGTGTTTACCTTCCACAAGTGCTGTTTTCGTCTCCTTTGGATGAGAAAATATCCCCTGTAAAGATTCTAGGGATTTATGGCCACGTCCTCTGAGCCAGGACCTCCCTGTTGAGGGAAGGATTTATGGAAGGTCTAGAAATACCTCAGAGGAATGCTCTGAAAAATAATTTAACAGAAAAAAAGAAGGCAGAGTTGTGGTGAAGTCAGATGTGAAGCTGGCTTGTAATGATTTTACTTTATTTCATGAAACTGGGCTGTATCCCCAGCAGTGTGATCAACAGGTTTAGTGAGGGGATTTTCCCCCTTTACTCTGCTCACCTAAGATGCCACCTGGAGTATTGTGCCCAGTGTGAGGATTCCAACATAAAAAGGACAGGATGTGTTGGAGCAAGGCTAGAGGAAGCCACAATGATGATCAGAGGCTGGAGCAGCTCTGCTATAGACAGGCTGAGGGAGCTGGGGGTGTTCAGCCTGGAGAAGAGTACAGGGAAACTTTATAGCACTTCCAGTGCCTAAAGGGGATCCAAGAGAGCTGGAGAGGGACTTTGGACAAGGGATGGAGTGACAGGACAAGGGGGAATGGCTGACAGAGGGCAGGCTTAGATGGGTATTGGGAAGACATTGTTGGCTGTGAGGCCCTGGCACAGGTTGCCCATAGAAGCTGTGGCTGCCCCACCCCTGGAACTGCCCAAGACCAGGCTGGATGGGGCTTGGACCAACCTGATCTGGTGGAAGGTGTCCCTGCCCATGCCAGGGGGTGGATTGAGACAATATTTTAGGTTCCTTCCAACCCAAACCTTTCTGTGACTCCTTGAATGAGCTGTGTCCTGGGCTGGGGTGTCTCAAGGGCTCATTGTCCCTGCCCAGCTGTGCCGTGAGGGTGGTCAGCCCCGGGTTGCATTGGATGCCTGGTCCCAAAATACCCTTTTAATGGGGTGGAGCAGCTTCTCAGGTCTCCTTGAGCAGCACAGGCAGACTTCGCAGGACCGATCCGGTGCCCGTACCCACAGCAATGCCGCGGGTGCCGTTCCGGACACGGCTCCCCGTGCCCGGCGGGGCTGTCCTCCCTCACAGCAGCCGCTCCGGGTGCGGCTCCCGCGGCTGCCGCCCGGGGCCGGCGGAGACCGGCGGAGAGCGGCAGCAAAGCCCGCGGGGCGGTCCCGCTGTCCCCGCGCCGCGCCGGGCGGGGGAGCCGCATCACCTCCCGCCGCTGAGCCCGGGGTTGTCGCTTTTGGCTTTGCCCTGGAAGGCGGCGACCCGACCACCGCTCGGGTGTGTGTGTGTGTGCCTCTGTGAGGGTCTGTGTCTGTGTGTGTGTGCGTGTGTGTGGGTCTGTGAGGGTCTGTGTGGGTGTGTGTGTGTGAGGGTCTGTGTCTGTGAGGGTCCGTGTGTGTGAGGGTCTGTGTCTGTGTGTGTGTGTGTGTGTCTGTGTGTGTGAGGGTCCGTGTGTGTGTGTGTCTGTGTGTGTGTCTGTGTGGGTCCGTGTGTGTGTGTCTGTGTGTGTGAAGGTCTGTGTGTGTGTGGTTTTGTGTGAGAGGGTACTGGGGGTACCTGCAGACCGGGAGGGGGTCCCGGGGGATATCGAGGCGTACTACAGGAATACCGGGGGTTTCCCGGCGAGTACCAGAGGAGAAAAATATCAGGGGATACCTGGGTGTGAGAGGTACTTGGGGGATAGCGGGGAGTAGATATCGGGGGTTACCGGGAGAAGAAATGGGGTGGCTACCGGGAGAAGATATCGGGGAGTACCGGTGGGAGAGAGCGGGGGGCACTGTGGGATCCCAGGAGAAGACACCGGGAGGTCCCGGGAGGAGATATCGGGGATCCCGTGGGGGCATATCGGGACTATCCCGGGGGTCCCGGGCTAAGATCCCGGGGGATCCCGTGGGGATGTGGGGGGGTGTCCCGTGAGGGGGTCCGGAGGCGGGGGCCTGAGGGGGCGGTGGGGGGGGGCGCGAACCGGCACGTGCCCCAGCGGCAGCGGCGCGCGCGGCCATTGGCTGAGGCTGTGGCCAATCAGCGGGCGCGCCTGTTTTGCCTCGGAGGCCGGATAAAAAGCCCGGGTGGGACCGCGGCGGAGCGGAGCGGGCGCGGCACCGGCGGTGAGCGGGGCACTGCACCGGGGGCACCGGGGGCACCGGGGGTTTGCATGGGAGAGAGAGAGGGGGGCATGGGGAGGGTGGGGGGCATCGGGGCATCCACGCGTAGGAGTGGCAGGCGGCGGAGGGAGAGCGGATGGAGTGGGGAGCGTGGGTGGGGGGCTGGATGGCGAGGAGGGAGGGGATGCTGCGGGGCTCCTTGGGGGTGTGGGATGCTGCGGGGGTGATGTGGGGAGTGGGCTGTGCTGGGGGATACTGGGCGACCGCTGGCAGCGGGGACAGCGGGCTGCGGCTCTTGTCGCAGAGAGGATGATGGCTGGGCTGGGGAGGGGGCTGTGCAGGGATGAGGAAGAGGAGGAGGAGGTGATGGAGGAAATGCGTTGTGGGCTGTGCTGGGGCAGCGAGCCTGCGCTGTGGGTGAGGGGGGGAGCTCTGAACCGGCTTCTACGGCTGGGAGGGGGCCCTGGCCCCCAGGCATCGCTGCTGGGTCAGACCCCCGTCCTGCCAAAGCACCCGGTGCTGGGGTGTCCCCAATAAGGGCAGCTGCCCTGGCTGGCTGTGTGGCCAGCTGCTTTCCCCACAGTGCCGCCTGAGATGTGCCTGGGCTGGGAAAAGCCTCAGCTTGGCTCAAAAGGGCCACCTGCCTTGTGACACTCGGGGCTCCCCAGGGTCGGGTTGTCCCCTTGGCCAGGTGTGTTCCCCAATTTGCTCGCTCCTGCGGGCTCCAGGGACTGGCACAAGTGGAGCTGGACACAGTTAATGCAGCTCCAGCATCTGGGGCAGCCTGGAGATGCCACTGAGCTGCGGTGTCTCCCAGCTGGCTGGCCTGGCAGGCAGCAAAAAGTGCTCCTTGGTGATACATTGGTGACAAACTGCATTTATAGACCCCTCACACACCTTGCAGAGCAGGTCTGTGCTTTTGCACAGGGCAGAGCAGATCTGGTGGGTCTCTAAAGCCACCGCTGGGATATGGGGCTGTGTCCCCCGTCCCAGCCTGATGGCAGTGGGGACATCAGGGTCCTGTCCTGGCATTTATTCCCTCAGTGCCTGCCCCGTGCAGGGGCAGCAGGCTCTGGGCTGTTTGCTGCGTTCTCATACCTGGTGCTCGGGCAGTGGAACCGAGTCCTTGAGCAGAGCCCTGTGTGTGAGTGAGCACCCCAGGGGCTCTTCAAGGGCACCTGTGCCTCCCCCATCCCTGCAGGTCCCTTGGCAAGCTGGCACCTGCACAAACCAGTTCTGCACCCGAGTGCCTGCCACCCAGCAGGCAGCTCTGCCTGGCTACTTCGTGAGGAGATCCCTTAACCCACGGGTTTCTTTTCATGCGGTGTGGACTCACTGGCTGTTGCTCCCTGCAGGTTTTGAGGCTCTGAAGGAGGAGGGCACCCCCCCAGGCAGCCATGGCCCCCACGCTGGCCACGGCGCACCGGCGGCGCTGGTGGATGGCGTTCACAGCCATCATCGAGAACCTGCTCTTCTCTGCCGTCCTGCTGGGCTGGGGGTCCCTGCTCATCATGCTGAAGGCAGAAGGGTTTTATTCCTACCTGTGCTATGGCCTAGGTAAGCGTTTTTTGGGCTCGTGTGGGGGTAAGGTGCTGCTGAGGTTGGCTGGTGTGGTTCCCTGCTGCAGGGTGGTGTGGAAGTGGTTGGAGGAGGGCTGAGCTCCATGCTGATCCCAGGGGAGAAGGAAAGGGATTTGTGCTCCTTCCTAAAGGCAGTGGCATCCTTGTGATGGTGCAGTGTGCCTGTAGGTGCTGTTGTTTTGTAGGGTGGCTGGGAAAAGGAGCTTTAATGATGGGGTAGAACTTTTCTGGATGGCCTTTTCTACTTGGCCATGAGCTCTTCCTCTTCAAGAGCTCTGGAGGATGGTGATTTTTGGGGAGGCTGTCCTGGGTTTATTAAAGGAACTTTGTCCTACAAGGAGCATGGGTGGCAATTATATCAGGGCAATCCAGTGCTGCTGTAGAGGAGAATTTGCAGAATTAAATACTGCTGGTCATTCCTCTCCTTCAAGCACCCAGGATGTGCTCAAACCAGGCTGTGTTTCTGTGAGGGCTGGAGATTTACCCTCTGCCCCAGCCAGAAGTGACTGTCCCTGCTGCAGAGACAGCCTGGAAAGGGAGAGATAAATCTGTGGTGTGGGAATGGTAATCCTGGGAAAACAGCCTGGAGGTGGACATCTATCTCCAGCCTGGGCAGGGAGAGAACTGTGCACCCCACAGAGTGTTTGGGTGGTCAGTGGGGTTAAAAGGAGCCCGAGGTAAAGGGGTGGTGTGGGTTTGTGGTGGCTGAGGGTTTGCTGTGCTCAGAGGAGGGGAGGGCAGAGTGAAGAGAGGCAGTTTGGGCTCTGTGATGGAGACTGAGACTGGATCAGCCCATCGGGGCTGGTGGAGAGTTGAGAAAAGAGTTGGAAATCAGTGAACGGGGCCTCAGTTGAGTGATGGCTGAGAACAGTGGAGGAAAACTGAGGTGTGGGGAAACAAAGTCCAGACAAAGGTACCTGCGAATGATGTGATGGTTTTGCTCATTCATCAGCTGATGGTTTTGCTCATTCATCAGCTGCTTATCTCCCGTGCTTTGTGTACCAGGGCCTGGGTTGGTGCACCTGGCAAAAATGCACGTGTTTGAGCCTTTTATCAGCTGCAGTTTGGCAGCTCCGTCTCCATCCTGTGCTCTGCTCTCAGGGCAGTGCTCCCAAGCATGTCCCTGTCACTCGTGTCCCCAGGAGCACTCCTGTGTGTGAGGGAGACTCCCAGTGCCTGGAGACCCTGCAGGACTTCAGTTCAAGGCTGCTGTGTTCTCCCCACATCAGGGAGACTTTGTCACAGCCAAGTGATCACATTAAACCCATCAGGTGGAGACTTTCTGCCACCCAGATAAAGCACACAGGAGCTGATAAGCAAATGCTGACTGTCTCTGCGAGCAGGCATTTGCTTGTCTGCTTCCTGAGATGTGCTCTGCTGACAAGAGCTTCACTGGGGGCCCACCTCCTGCTCTTTGCCTTGGCTGCTTTCAGTTTGTCCCAGATCACTGAGGTTCACCTCAGTTCCTCACTCCTCTTCAGCAACCTCTGGCTTTTTTGGCCCATGCCCACACACCACAGGGAAAATGCAAATGTTTGGACTGCTGTGAAATTGCTGCCCTGGGGGCAACTGCTCCCTCCCTGTGGCCAACCTGTGCCCCGAGGCAAGAAAGCTTAATCCCTGAGAAGAAATTTGTGCAGTCAAATGTTCTCATTGTCCTCAAATATCTGGCCATCGCTTCTGAACTCGGTGATGGCTTGTGATGAGCTGTGGGGGCATTAATCTGTGCTGACTCACTTTCCTTTCTCTGGGTTTGTCCTCTCTGTAAGAGTTTTGTGGGGAAGACTCCTGGCTCCAAGCGTGTGGAGGCTGTCAATGACCAGCCCCAAACGGAGTTTTCCCTTTGCTGCCATTAGGGTGACCCAATGGTTGCCTTTTTCAGTGTAACCTATTGAATCCTGCAGCCAACTTGGCTGGAAGGCTGGTGCAAACAAATCATGACTAGTAGCCTTTGGGCACTTGTTGTTCCTAATGCTGCTGTGGGCATGCAAGTATTGCAAAGGAAAAAAAAAATAGAATTTTCCTAATGAGCCAAAGGTTCTTGGCAGGGCTTTCAGTTTGTCAGCATAAGCTCTTGTACTTTGTGATGCTTTCCAATGAAAGGCAAAACTAGACCTTGTCCCTTCTGCAGGCTCTTCTCTGAAGGTAACAGCAGCTGCCCAGAAAGTGCTGCAGTTCATGAGGGACTCCTTGTCTCCCTGTTGAATCCCTTGCTTGCCCTTGGCTCCTCGTGTTGGATTTTACTCACCCATTGGACAAATGTGGGGTCCAATGGACTCTTAACTCAGTAACATGAGGGTGGAGATGGACACCTGGGGGGGAAAAAATCCGAAATAACAAAATATTTTTAGAGCAGTTGTGCAACAGGGCTGGAGTGGGGGGTTGTACCCGCTGGGCCACCTCCTGAGGTATGCTTGAAATTCGCTGACAAGGAGCCTGCTAGTAGCACTTTGTTCCCATTTTAATTTTACTACACTACTACTTGGCCTTTAACCAACTGAAGCAGCATCTTTTATTCGTGCAAGTGCTGACTCCACAGTCTTTATCACCGTTCTGTGCCTTATCAGCTCTGAGGGAATTTGATCAGTCCAGGGCCTTGCCTTGCTATGATGTTTCTGGGATTGGGAAGCTGAACGCTTAGGTCTGAAACATGCTTGAAGAAAGAGAAATGTCCTGAACTTGATAATCTGCTCACAAAGAGCAGAGATAAGGGGCACAGAGGGCTTTCCTCTAAGACAGGGCTGCAGAGTACCAAAGGGATGATAAGCTAATTCACTTACAGTGAGTTAACGAGCCCTGACGTGGTCAAAGGGGGAAGGTGCTGCCTTACAGCTCTTTTCCCATATTTATCTGAGCTCTGGGTGGGGAACTTGCAGTCTCAAGGTCCCTCACAATCTGGGCAGATATGACAGCTAGGATTTGTGGAAGGGCTGCACGTGTGAGGCTGTAAACAGGAAAAGAGTGAAGGTGGTAAATAGTCAGTTTGTACAGGAAACACACTGTGCTGATCAGCAGCTGTCGTGGGAAGGTGCTGGCTGAGAGCAGCTGCAAAATGAAACCACAGCTGGGGAGAGAAGGGGAGGTTAACTGGGGCTGTGCCTTGGTCATATGAAGCTTTCAGGCACCCAGAGAGGGGGTCCTGCAAGTGCAAGTGGAAGGGCAGGGAAACCCGAATAAATTGCTTTTGCAGTGGTACAAAGCAAGAACATCTCCTCCCAGTTCCCAGAAGTATGACACCATCCTAAAAAGAGAAAACATGTTCTTATGTGGGCAGACTGCAGAATCAGTTGTTTGCACATGTCTTTCAGTGTGCTATTTTTTTAAACCAATACTCCCTGTTCTTTGCCCTTGATTTCTGGTTTTTTTTTTTCCCCTCCATTTTTTTTCTTCTTTAAAAAAAAAAAGAGGAGAAAGATGAGAGTGTGCAGGCTGTGACAGAGCTATTGTCAGGGTGGCTGGGGGTGTCTTGCCTGTTTGACTCAGTCTGCTCCATGCAATAAGATGAAAGGAAAGCTGCTCTCTGCCATCTGAGATGGCAGTCACTGCTGGAAAAGCCAGACTCGTTCCTCTGGTAATGTGGGGTGTGTGTGTGTGCCTGGGATTTGAAGAGGTCAGTGAAGAGCAGTTAATGATTGACCTGCTGCTTGGAGAAAGGATGGCTTTGAATGTTCCAGCCTGAACAAATCCCAGCGATGATCTTGACATAAATGATTACCCAGGCAGCCTTCTCCTTACCTAAGCTGTCATTCTTTAAATAGTAACTTGAACTACTAATTGGGCAGTAGAAATCCTGCTGCTTGTGTGGGGAGTGCTGTAAAAATAGGCAGCAATGTTCTTGTAATTGCTGGTAAAGACTTGTAGCTTCTGCTGGCTTGTCAGTGAGGCAGCAGTGAGTGAGCACAGCCCCCGTGCTGCTGCCTTGCCCGGGTGTGACACCTCGAGTGCTGCATGCAGTCGGACTTGGCAAGAGGATTTGGGGAGGCCACCACCTTGGGCACAGAGCCAGTCCTTGCCCAGAGCAGTTTTCCAGATGGAGCCAGGCACACAGGAGATTTGGGAGTGTGGCACGCACCGATCTGGACCGGGACCTGAGCTGTGATTGAGGGGAAGCTGCAGTTTGCTGTAGCCAGGTGCATGGGGTAGGTGAGTAGTTAGGCAGGTTCTCTGCCCATTAAGCCCCTCCTGGCTGCATGTCCTGTGCTGCCACTCGCTGTCCTGTGCCAACGGGCTGCTGGCACCCAAATCCCTGCTTGTGGATGAGCCTGCTCTTGGCTGGACCCTGTGCCTGCAGCACACACCTGCAGCCCTTCCAAAATGTTCTATTTATGGAGGTGGCTCAAAGGATCAGGGGATGTCAGGGTGCCAAGGGCTGCTGGAATCATTTCCATTACGCCTCAGTGGATCTTCTCTTGTTGCTCAGGGGCTGCTTCTATTTTCACAAACAATTTGTATTTCCACATAGTGCTGTTGCCTGGCCCCTCCTTGGAGCTGGCACCCAGCAGCTGTAAACAAGGTGGTTGGTACAGGCAGGGAGTGAAGTTTGGTGTCCCATTCCCAGCTTTCCAGTGTGCAAAGAGGGGCAAATTCCTTTGCTGTTCGTGAGCTGTGTCCTCACCTCATGCACACTCATCATGGTGTGTGCTGTGTGAGCTCCTTGGGGACACACAGCAGTGACCACATCCAAACATGAACAGGAATTTGTGTTCTCCAACTTTAAAGGCTGAGTATTCCTGCTTGGAGATCTCTGTGTGGGGAGGGTTACTGAGGCTTTAACACGTGCAGAAGTTATAAGGTCACTGCACTGTTCATGTCCCTCCACCCTCCTTCCACTCATCAGCTGAGCTATCTCTGGAGAGTGCTGACACAGGGAAACTGCTACTACTTTGTCAATTCCCCCCCTCCTCCTTGTTTTCCCGAGTTTCACCTCTCACCCACATCTGTTTCCTATGAATTTATCTTTGTGGAGAGCCCAAAAGCCTTGATGCTGTGGGTGAAAACTGCAGACAGGCTCCCAAAGTCTGTCCAGGACTGATTTCTAAGGATGTGACTCGGGTCAGTGCCTCAGTGCACTGCCCTCCGTGCAGAGGAGATGCTGCTGGTGGCACATGTGACATTTTGGGGATATTTGTTGCTTACTCTGGCTATCCATGACTAACAGCACAAGAGAAGGGGCAGATTAAGTTATCAGTCAGGAGCACATGGCAGTGGAAAGGAACACAGGCAGTTTGAAGCAATCTTAGCAAAGATGCTGATGGGAGCAATGTAAATGGGGAGAAATGCCCCAGCCTTCCCTGGAGTGCTGGGAGGGGACAGAGGCAGCTCCAAGTCCTCACATATCAGTGCCTGAATTCCTGCTGATACCTGAAGGCAGGAAGGTGGAGCAAGGTTTGTTTGCAGTGGACACAAAGCTGGGAGGGTGGTTTAGGGCAGCTGGGAGAGCCAGGGTGAAACCAGTAACTGTGGAGGAGCTGGGGTTTGAGTAGAAGGGAGGGAGGGAGGGGCAAGGTGGGGCTGTGCCACCTCCAGAGCTAACACAGAGCAGCCATGGGGATCTCCCCCACCAGCCACAGCAAGCAGGGAATGGGAAGCCACTGGCACATGAGGGATTCCTGCTAATTAACTAAACCAACCTGGGCTCGCTGGGAATCTCCAGCCTCACTTCCTGCTGGTGGTTCTGTCGGTGACTTCCCTCTGTTCCTCCTTTAGTGCTGAACTTTGTCAGATCAATTATTAAATAAGAAGGAGAGTGTTTTATATCACTGGCTTGCAGCAGCAGCATGAGAGCAAGTGCTTTGTCATAGCAGCAAAGGTTCCAGATAAGTGTTGGGAGGAGGAGAGCTGGAGAGCACTGGAGCTGTGAGTTAATGGCAGTCTGAAGGCACACAGCTCACTCGAGGAGTTGTAAGCAGCCTTGGGATAGGCATGTAACAGGAGAAGAGCTGACATGAGGCAGTAAAAGGGAACTTCTTTCCTTTCTTGTTTTTTTTTTTGAACTGTCCTGTTTCTGTCTTGGTTACACAACGTGGGCTCTGTTCAGCGTGGGAGTTTGCATGCAGAGTTCCTCATGTAAGGGCAAGAACAGAAGAACAGAAAGCTGGGGATATAATTGATCTGTGTGACCTAAACCCATTTTGAAAGAATAGAAAATGCTAATTACAGGGTAGGACTTAAAGATGCATCGATGCTCTAAAAAACCAGAGAAGGCAGGTGAGCTGCCAGCCCCCCTGGGAACAGGGTAGTTAAATCCAGGAAGGATTTTTCAGAGCCAGGACAGTCAAAGCAGGGTGGCTGCTGCAAAGCCATTCTTCATCCTGATGCCTGCAGTGAGGGTAGGAAGCTTTTCATTTGAGCAGGCTGCTGCTCAGTGCCAGGCCTTGTCAGCCTGGTGTCTGGAACCAAAATAACTGATTTGGCTGTAGCTGTCGTTAGTTTTGTAAGGGAAAAGATCTCTGAGAACATGACAGCTGTAGATTAGGAGGACCTTATTTTTGTATCCCTTTGGGTTTAGCAGGGTTTAGTGTCCTGTAATTGCCAGGCCATTGCTGTATAGTTGTTTTAATAAATTAATGAATCTCCATCCCTGGGTTTTTACCCTGCTGCTACGTGGGATATCTGTCTCATGGCTGCTTTTTCCTGTTCAAAGCAGAGCTCATCAGGTTTCCCTCACCCTTCTGCTGCTCTGCTTCTCCATTTCTCACTGATTAGAATAAAAACTGCACTGTGGAGGGCATATGCCCAGCAGGGCTTTTCCCTTCCCTCCTCCCTGCAGCGTTTTAAATCTCATCCTAACACACTGTCCTCTCTCACCCCGTGTAGAGACCACCACCAACATCTCTGAGCTCGACAACAGCACAGCTTCAGAGCACAAATGGCCTTCCTGCAACGCCCAGGATGAAATGCTGAACTTGGCCTTCACCATTGGCTCCTTCCTGCTCAGTGCCATCACCCTGCCCCTGGGAATTGTCATGGACAAGTACGGCCCCCGCAAGCTGCGGCTGCTGGGCAGGTGGGTGTGCAGGGCCTGGGGGGCTGAGGGCTCAGCTCCCACCCTGGCTGGCTGCTGTGGGCTCCCTGCAGCCTTGGGAAGTGTCTGAGGGATGGGGCTGGGATGTGCACAGGACAGCAGAGCAGCTCTGGGGTAATTTCAGCCAGCACAGTGGATTGCTCCATAAGGGAAGGGCCTGGGACTCGGTGTCCACACTTCAGCTCTGCAGTGCTGCTCTGTGATCCCTGTCCAGATGGAGCCTGGAGGAAGAGCAGAGTCATTTGTGAGTCAGGGAGGGTAGCTTTCTCCTTGGGCTGGGAGCTATGTCCTGAGAGGCACAAAACCAAGATGTTACATCATTGTTTGCAGGCTGGGGAGTTAACTCAGGGATAAACATGTCCTGTTGCCTTTCCCAGGGCCCTTCTCTTCCATGTGGTGTGTTGCTTTCTGCCTCAAACAGCGAGGTTGTCAACTGCTTCTGTCATGGCACAGAGGGATTAGTGACTTCTGGGATCACTGGACCCCAGCACTGTTTTAACTTCACAATTTTAATGTGGTGAACTTGGTTAGAAACCAAACTGGCCTGTGGGCAGAGTGGGAAAAACAGGGCAAGTCTCTGAGTCAGACCCTGCCAGAGAGGAGTTGAGTGCTGGGGCTCGGGACAAAAGCTGCTGCTGCTGCTGCCTTTGGTCACCCTGAGGTGAGGGCTGGAAAAACTGTGCTGGAAAACCAGTGGGAATTTGGGTCCAGCCAGAGCTGTGTCAGTGCTGGGAGGAAACGTTCCTGCCCCAGCCCTTGTGCAAGGCTTGCCTGTAATACTTGTTTGCCAGTAAGATGTGGGTATTTCCCTGGATTTTTCTTTCCAAATTGCCAGCTTCCCTCTTACAGAAAGTGCCCTGCAAGATGCTGAGGAGGTGGAAGCAGCTGTAACTGACTGTGGGTAGGGCTGTTTGTGAGAAACTGATGGCTCTGGTTCCCTTGCAGTGCCTGCTTTGCCGTGTCCTGTGTGCTGATTGCGTACGGTGCCAGTAACCCCGACTGTAAGTTGGCATCTTTCTGCTGAGCTGGGAGCGTTGCAGGGCTCTGGTTTGGGGTTTTTGGGGAAGCAAAGTTCAAACTGTCAGCCCCCCAGTGCTGTACTGGGGTCACAAGCCAAGCAATCAGCCAGGCTGAAGGAGCTAAGTGGCTCTGGGGAGGGCTGGTGTTTCACAACAAGTGGAGAGTGCAGCAAGGGCCAAACGTCTGAGATACCCAGGTCTCTTGATTTTGTGTTTGGGCAGGGCCAGCTCCTGTAAAGGAGCAATTCCAACTGAGTTCCTGGCTTTTTCAGGGTTGGGAAATAGGTAATAGCACCCAAAGTGTAATTGGCTTTTTTCGCAGAGGTAGATGGAGCTGGCTGCTCAAGAGCAGATAGTGAATGACCCTTTGGATTGTTTGTTCAAGCCAATCTTCCTTTTGAGACCCACCAGACAAGCTGCATCAGCAAGTCTGTGCTTTAGAGAGAAGGAACCCTTCCATCCCCTCTGAGCTGCCTTGGAGGAGAGCCCTGTCCCTGCTGGTCTGTGTGGCTGGGGAGATGGCTGGTGACATGTCCTGAGGGTGTGGATCCACAGAGGTTCCCACATATCAGGACCAAAGCCTTTAGGGCTCTGTCTCCTTTCCCTCTGCACCCCAGTGGGAGCTGAGGGCAGGTTTTTTATTGTTGCAGCTCTGTCTGTGCTGATATTCATTGCCCTGGCTCTGAATGGCTTTGGTGGGATGTGCATGACCTTCACATCACTCACGGTAAGTGAAGAGTTACTACCTGACTGCTCTGTCCCTCACTGTGGCTGTGAGCTGGGCTGGCAGGCAGCAGCAGAGTGGATCTTCTGCCTGTGGCTTGAATAGCACGTGTTTGTGTTTGGTACAAAGGGTCAGTCACCCTTGGGAGCGAGTCCTTGGTTGTTATTCTAAAGCTTGTTTTCCCCAATCGTTTTTTTTTTTTTTTTTTGTTTTTGTCTTTGTTTTTTTTTTTTCACCTGCCCTTTGTATCTCAGGTGAAGGTGGGGAGAAAAAAGGAAGTGTTTTTGTCTAGGGCTCATAATGTGCCTGTACATGCAGTGCTCAGCTGCTTGGCACAGGCTGGAGGTGTGTTTGCACTGGATTTAGCATTGACACAGTGCAGGAAGAGTCAGCAGGGCACAAACCCTTGCAGCTGGGTATGACCAGCTTTCTGCAAGCACAGTGTGCATCTTGCCCCCATGGTTCTTCTTGATCACAAAAGGTTTTGCTTTTCAGAAGGGTGGGAGTCCCTCACAGGCTTCCTTAGAAATGCTGTGCTGTTGGGTGTGCACAGCCCACTTGGATTTGTTCAGGATTGTATGGAAAGCTTGGGTCAACAACTGTCAGCTGGATCTCTATGTTTTGGGGTTCTTTCTGCCTGGAGGCAGAAGCAGTATCATTCTCCAAATAACTGCTTTATTTTCTGCCTCATTACCCTGATTGTTGTTAGTGTGGCTCAAGCAGGGCTGGGTGGAAAGTCGCCCAGAAAACAAGCCTGAGAAGCACTGATATTTTTTTTTTAAATTTTTTTTTCCCCTGAGCTGTAGTTAAAAACTCTCAGATTTCGACTGCACTACCTTGAACTTGCTGCTAAAGTAAAACTTCCTGTTAAAGTTACCTCTAATTTAACAGGGCTTAGACACTGGCTGAGGTCCTGAGACATAAATTTGGCAGAGGCTGGCTTTAGAGAGCACTCTGTGTACTGTGGTTTTGCTGCTCCTGTTGCTTTCATGTATTCAAAGTTCTCAGACCTCTGTGCAGATGTTCCTCTCTCCTTCATATGTGGTGCTCTTCACTGGGAGCCTTGGCTGTGACCCCAAGGAACTGTGGGCCAATTGTCATCCTGCTTCAAATAAAAGCAAGGAATAGAGGAGCACATCAGTAGTGCTGTGGGAGAGGAGAGGATTCCCATCCTGCTGCTGCCAGCATTGATTATTGTCTCTCTAGGTGATTATTAAGGGGTCACAGATTATTTTAGACCCACTGGTGATGATAGGAGTGAGGGCAGGATAGGGCAGGAATAGATTGAGTGTGCTGTGGCTTTTAGCAGCAGAAGTAAGCAAAGCCACTTGTTAGTGCCCTCATTAGTGAGCCAGTTCTGCAGTGCCAAGGAAGAGCAGCAGCAGGAAAAAGGTCAGCTCCTCCAAGAGGAGATCCAAGCCTTGGGGAGCTCTGAAGGAGTCAGGGATGCTGTGAGGCCACACAGATGCCTCAGGTGGAGCCCATCCCCTCAGCGTGTTCTGCAAAGAGCTGGGGTGGCTTCAGGCCTGACTTCTCCAATCCACAGGCAGGTGTAGCTGCTTGTGCAGCTGCTCAGAGGCATTTTGGTACCTGAGGCGTGTGAATGTCATTAAAAATAGCCTCAAGTGGGAGGGAAACACTCCTTTACCTGCACCACAGCAGAGCTGTGCTGCTGCCTGCTAGAACCAGCTGGATGTTGGCTGTTGGCAGCTCACAGCTTTACCACTCTGCCTGCAAGCTGCACTTGCTGTGTCAAGAACCATCTTCTGCTGTCACAGGGTGATGCCTTGTGGATTCCTTCCAGCTGTGGCCCCTGGGGACAGGCGAGGGAGGGACCCAGGGACGAGCTCATGGGCTGTGCCCTGAACACGCTGTGCTGTGCTCCGCCCTGTGCCCGGCAGGGGACGGGCTGAACGCTGAAAGGGGACACTCCAGAGACCTTTGTAAGGACGTTCATTACCAAGGAGATGATGAGCCCTGCTCCTCCCGGTGCCAGGCGAGCTGGGGCTGGCTGCCACAGGCACTGGCTGCGTGCACAAGTCACAGCAAGGTGACTCCCTGCTCCTGCCAGCTGCAGGTGACCTGAGCTGCTCCAGGAAACGGGTCAGACCCACTGGTGCCATGGTCCTCAGCCACCCCAGGCAGGTTCTGGTTGCTGCTTCCTGGCAGGGTGTCCCTGAATCCCAGCCCGTGGGGTGTCAGGTGTTGACACCTCCCGGGACACAGTGTGTGTGATCTGGTGGCAGGGACCCTCAGGCAGGGATAAACAGGATCTCTGAGGATTAGAGCCTGGGACAGTGCTCCACAAAGCTTTGCCTCTTGAGTTTTGCCTCTTTTCCAGCAACAAGTCCCCAGGGTATCATGAAAGCACATGGCAAGCTGTGGAGCCAAAACAAGCTGCTGCTCCTGGGTGCCTGGGCTGTGGCTTGGGGAGGAGGGGGCAGCCAGCAAAGGCTTCCCAGTTCTGGGAACAAGGTCAGCCTGTGCCTGTTGTTAAAATGTAGAGGGGAGATTTCTGCCTCGTGACTTGGTCTTGGCCAATGTCAGTGAAGATTGGAAATGGAAACAGATCTGTGCTGGTGGCTCTGACAGCAACACAGGAATCTGGCTCTGGTTCTGCTCCGAAGCTATTTCATGCAAAGAAATAAACATGTGTGATAAATTACCACAAAGAGCCTTTTATAGATTGTTCTCTGTCCTGTTTTCCTTTCAAAGAATTACAGCTGCTTTGCTCTGATTTTCTGCTGCAAACAGCCCCCTTTAATCGGGGGGGGGGGGGACATTTCTGTGTAGGGAATCTTTTTTGCTTGGAAATATTAGGAAAACTTAGGGCTCTGTGAGCTTTTGTTTGTTGGAGAATGGGAACAGGAGTTTCCATATGCTTTGGGCAAAGGGGGCAGTTTGAGGCTTTCCTGCAGAACATATTTTTAGTGTCTGTGTAACTTCCAAACACACCCCCAATAGGGAAAACAAAGTTTAATTGAACAAAAATACCATTTTTCAGTAGTCTAGTTCTCAATGCCTTGATTTTTTTTTTTTTCTGTTCTTTCAAACAATCCTTGCAAGAGGAGGGAAACGGGCTTTGGTAGCAATGCTGTGCTGTTTTCTGTATGTGGAATGTCTCCAGGGAAAAGCTGGAAAACAATATAAATTATTATAAACTCACTGTAGGGCAGATGAGGAAAAAAAAATCTGCAAGAGGAAATGATTTATCAGTTTAGGATTACAGACCTGCAGTAAAGGACTCCAGTAAAAAACAGTTACATTGGGCAACATTCACGGAGTGTCTTTGTGACAGGGCATAAAGTTAATATTGCATTGAGTGTCAGTGACCTTTAAACAAGAGGCTTAAGAGTTTCTGTCGTCATAGGTCTTGCAGAATTGGAGCTGTCATACCAGAATGGGCAGAAGTTGCTGGAGGAGTCACTTCTGGCCTGCGGGGATGAGATCAGAATGAGGATTAGATCCTTTTTGGTGGCAGAAAAACAGAGCTCACTTGCTCCATGGCTTGTGTTTTTTATTGCCTTTTTTTTTTTTTTTCTCCTCTCTGTGGTTCATTTTTTCCAATGCTTGCTAGTATAAAGACAGCATGAAAAATGACTTGGTAAATATTGCATGTTGTTTTTGTAGCTGGTCTTTAGGTGAGACCTGCACAGGCACTGCCAGTGCTGGCTCAGTCTGAGAGGTTTTCTGCTCTTGAACTCTTCAAGACTTTTCCCCCTCTGCCCCTCCAGGTAGTCCCACATTTCTGTCCCTTCCAAGTGCTCAGTGTTGGCAGTTTCTGCTTTGATTGGGCTGGATAAGACATTAAATCTCTTCTGTCCAATTTTTTTAATCTAGCTGCTTGCTGGGTGCCAAATTGGATTTGAGGAAATCTTTAGCCTTTCTAGGACTTCTGTCCCAATCAAGGCAGAAGCAGCCTCGGGTTCTCCTGTTTGTGGCTTCCTGTTCTGTGTCTCCAGTAGCCCTCAGAGCAGGAGGATCCACCTGGAAGTTCCTTTCCTGCTGTATGAAAAAAGCTTTTTGTGGACTCTGGATCTCTGGGGAAAACCAGCCCTTGCCAAGAAGCAGCTGTGTTTGTGCAGCTCTTGCCCTGCCCTGAGCTCCCCAGCAGGAGCAGCAGTTTTGTTGTCATTTCTGGACGTTATTTTAAGTTTGGGGTGTTTGGGATGAAACAAATGCCCATCCTGGTGACAGCGACCAGCCCTTTTTACAACCCTCAGCTATTGCACTCGGCAGATGCTGCTCGCTGGGAGTGTGTAAATCGAGGGCAGTGCTTCCAAGAGGAGATTTTCCAGTGCCTGGTAACAGACCTTTGGATCCTTGAGCTGTTTCCTGTCTGCAGCTCCCGGGAGCAGCCTGCTGGCAGCTCTCCCGCATGCGGGGCGATGGGTGTGGGGATGCTCTGCAGAGCAGCACAGCTCTTCTGCCTCCTCCTCCTCCTCCTCCAGGGCAGCATCAGGCTCAGCACATCACTGCTGCTGCCCAGCCTGGGGTTATGTGAGGACCTGCAGGCTGCAGTGCATAGGAAGCTCTGCAGTGAGGCACAGGGATGATAAACAGCCAGATGGGTCCCGGAGTGCTCCTGCTCAGGAATATTCCTGCCTTGTAAACACGCCGTGACACAAGCCAGATTTGCTTGCCTTATATGCTGCTCCTGGGAAAGATGGGTTTGTTTTTCAGCTCTGCAAGGGGAGTGTGATGGCAGCACTTGCTTGCTCAGGTTGATGTTGTCTGGATCTTTTTGTTCAGCAGCCTCTTTGCACAGAAAAAGGGCTGCTCGTGCTTTCAGTCCTAGAAGGCATCTGCAGTGTCCTGCTTTGAGGTCCTCTGAGGCTGACGTGGTAGTGATGCTCAAGTGAATTTGGGGAGTAAGTGACCCAAAAAAAAGGAGGTGGGAGGGAAATCTGCCAGGCTGCAGCAGAATCTCTGCCCATTGACCAGCTTCAGGAGGTGTCAGCCCAGCTCTCCATAGCCTTACAACTTCAGTGTTTCTCCCTTTACTTTCCAGTTTCCAGGACAGCATTAGTGAGTGATGTAAACTTGTTCACTTCTGTTTGCTTAGGAAAACAGGGGATTCTTCCTTTCCCAGCAGAGTAGGAAGGTCTCCTGCTGTTTCTGCCTTTGGATCTTGAGTGGAAGCAGGGCTGGTGAGCCATTCTGGGAGTGATTTTGCTGTTCAGGTGGCAGAAGTGGTTGCTGTGAGCTGCTGCTGCCTGTCCTTGCTGAGAGCTTTGCTTTCCCAACAGCTCCTTGCAGAACCAGCCTGGTCTGCTCTCAGCAGTGCCAGCACACCTGATGGGAGCCCAGGCAGTGAAGGGGGTGGATGGCAGGAGTAGCAATGTTGTGTTGCCTGCTGCAGAGCTCAGTTGCTGTGCTGAGTGATAAATCCTTGGGTATCTGGTGTTTGTGACTCCTTCCCTGCACCTCGCTCTGGGATAGTGTGCTGAGGCATCTGAGCCATCCCAGTGATGCAGAAATGATCAGCAGAGAGTCTGCTGCCACAGAAGGAGCCTTGGAGATGGCTAGAAATGGAAATGCAAACAGCAGCACTGTTTGTGCTTGTCTCTGTTCCTTCTTGTTATAACAGGAACTTTCTGGTCTGCTGCAAAGGATTTGGGTGCTGACCCAAGGTGCATAAACAAAGCTGGCAGTTCAAGGTGTTGCAGGCTGTGTTAAAGATTGCAGCCTGTGTCTAACAATCCTTGGCTAAAAAGGTGATAAACAGAATTTGGGCACATGTTTGTGGGAGAGGAAAAGTGGTGGCTAAAGGTTTGGGGTAAGGAACTTTTAAAGAAAGCACAAGAGCTGGAGCAAATGCTCCTGTGCTAAAAGTGAATGATGCAAAATATGCTGTCAGTCTGGAAAGAAGCAGCATCAGTAAGCACATAAATCTTGGGCTGTAGACATTCCCTGTCTCTGGAGACACCAGTGAAACCTGCAGAGTAATATCTTGAAGAGCTAAGTCATGCCTAAGTAAAACTGGCTGCTTCACATTCTGGTATCCAGGAGAATTAATCCTAAATGCCAATATCTCCATGAGGGAGCCTCATTCCTGCTCCAGCTGATGTTCCTCTCTCTCCCCAGCTGCCCAACATGTTTGGGGACCTTCGTTCCACGTTCATTGCTCTGATGATTGGCTCCTATGCTTCCTCTGCTGTGACTTTCCCAGGAATCAAGGTGAGGCTGTGGGATCAAGGCTTGTGACTGGTGGTGTTGTGCTGGTGTCTTGCCCTGTTTAGCAATAAAGTGGAAAGAAAGAGGGGCTATTTGCTAAAGCTCTTTTTTAGGGATGTGCATTTGCAAGATTCAGTTCCTGTCTGTATTAGAGACTTCCCAAGTGACTGCCTCAAGAGTGAAGCAGATAAAAAACTTCAGAAGTGCTAAGTAGAAGTGAAAAACTAAAGTTTTTGTTTTAGAAAAGATTGCTTTGTTAATCTCTAAGTTGTGTGTCTATATATATTTGTAATACACAAATGTGTATTTTATCTGTGTGATGGTCACCAATGGTTGGCTTTGAACACAATTCATGGCTGGCAGATGGCACTGAAGGGACACGAGATGGTCACCTGGGCTGCCTGCATAGATCACCTGGTTCTGAACCAGGGGTGTTTCACTGCAGTCTCAGGTGTGCAGGGAGATTCCTGCTGGTTTTCCAAGAAAGTCCTGGTCACAAAACTGGTTTTTGTTACCACTTGAGTTTAACCCATTTTAAGTGTATCATGATGTTCTTTCCCTGTTCCTCTCAGACCTCATTCCAAGAATATTGAAGCATCTTTGTGCTCCTGTAGCCAAACCCATATTCCCTTGTGATTCCCAGGTTATCTATGACTTTGGGGTCTCCTTCATCCTTATCCTGCTTGTCTGGGCAAGCTGTGCAGGACTCGTTTTCCTCAACTGCTTCTTCAACTGGCCCCTGGAGCCTTTCCCAGGACCAGAAGACATGGACTACTCGTAAGTCTCCAGGGCTAATCCCATTCCCAATCCTCTAGGAAAAGCTGGCACAAAGAATATAGAGGAGTAGACAGGGAAGCCCTTGCATGTTGTTTATTGCTGCCACCTCTTAGGCTGAGGATTTCTGCCTGCCACTAGCATGTGATTACCTGTGCAAAGCAGAACTTTCCAAACTGTGGGAATTACGAAGGGAAAATGATCTGTTCCTGGTCATAAGTATTTTTATATTGATTTATGCCAAGTTGGCCCAGGGAAAGTATCTCAGTGTGCTCTGGATCAAAACCATTTGTGGGTCTGTAATGGAAACCAGTGCCTTGAATCCACAAATAGCCTTTCTGACTCCTGCAACGTTGCTGCCTCTGACTCCTCACCCTGTGTTGCAGCTCTCACGCTCTTTGCAACCCAACAGGGTGAAAATAAAGTTCAGCTGGCTGGGATTCGACCACAAAATCACTGGGAAGCAGTTCTACAAGCAAGTGACGACCGTGGGGCGCCGCCTCAGCGTGGGGAGCTCCATGAAGGGCCCCAAGGAGCCAGCAGCTCTGCAGGAGAACAACAAGCTCTGTCTGTCTACAGTGGACCTGGAAGTGAAGTGCCAGCCTGACAGTGCAGGTGTGGTTCTGGGGTGCCCCAGGGTGCTGGCATGGGCCTGTTGGCCTCCCTGCTCTGCTCCAGACTTGTTTGGAAGGGAGCAAAACGTGATCCAGGTGTTGCCAGGGCCTCGTGCCAGCCACCAGGACTGGAGCAGGAGTTATGTAAGGAATCCTGTCCTTGTGTCCTTCCCTGATCACAGATGGTGCAGCCAGTGGTGGGGACAGCACATGGGAGCTGCTGTGGCTGCAGGGGGACAGGGCAGCTGGTCACTGCTGGCTCTTGGGTGGATTGTTGCCACCATGACCAAGCCTTCTTTACTCTGGGGCATCATAGAATGGATTGACCTGGAAGGGACCTTAAAGATCATTTAATTCCACCCCTTCCACCAGAACACATTGCTCAAAGCCCCATCCAACCTGGCCTTGATGGTGAAAGCAAATGGTTTGAGGCTTCTGTTTGTCTTAATCCACCAAATCAGGGCAGCCTCCTTTCCTGCTGCCTTGCCCAGTCACTGGTAGCCAAAGTCCAGCAGCTGCAGCTGCTGATGGTGGGAGCTTGTGAGGGACCAGGTGAACTCCTTGGGGCTGCCACTGGCACTCCTGGCCAGGAGAGGCCCTGCTAGGCCAGAGGCAAAACTGTCAATGTTTGCCAGGCTGTGCTGCCCTCTTCAGAGGCTCTGTTATTCCTCCTGCAGCTGCTCCCTCCTTCATGAAGAGTGTCTTCAGTCCCATCCTGCTGCTCAGCCTCATCACCATGTGTGTCACTCAGCTGAGGCTCATCTTCTACATGGGAGCCATGAACACCATCCTGGAGTTTCTGTCTGGAGATGAAAGTCAAGGTAGGGGGACCTCTGAAGACTTTTACTGCATCCTTGGGGCTGGGAGCTGACCCAGCCTTGGTGAGTGAAGGCAGAGCAGCTGATTACTCAGCAGATACTCCATGCAGGGCAATCCATGGTGTCCAAGTGCCCTGACAGCTGCTGGGAGGGTCCAGGGAAGGGCTGGAACCAGCCCAGCACAGAGGGGCAGTGAGGTAGGTGCTTGAATGTCAGGCTAATTTTAACCCTGTGTCTGTCAGATACTGCCCCACGTTATTTCCCCACATAGGCTCTTGCAAGTAACCCCTGGGGGTGGACTGCTGATTTTTATTTTAACTGGAAAACCTATTTCATCAGGTATTTGCTTAAGTTATCCCAAGCAAGCAGAGAATGCAGAGCAGCTGACTCTCATGAGTAATGCTTGGACTCAGAGCCTCAGCCCAGCACCCAGGGGGGGAGAAGTGAAGTCAGAGCTGGTTTTTTGTGCAGCTTGGTGGGTGCTGGGGAGGCTCAGGGCTGCTCCCCGTGCTGCACTCCCTGCATTTATAGTTCTGATGAAGCTCATGGAGCAAACAGGAAAGAGTACATTAGTTTACTGTCAAAAATACCCTGGATTGCAAAACAGGACTTAGCCTTTTTTTTTTAATTTTGTTTTTGTCCTTTGTAGTAAGATCCAGTTTGAACTTGTTAAATCTGGATTGCATGAAGCTGATAAATCAAGAGGCACTCCTCTGAAAACAGGAGTGAGCTCTGGGGGAGGGAAGGAAACTCAGGAAACTCCAAGTGCCCTGGCATTCCCTGAATTGCTTTGTTTCTTGAGCCTCTGACAGCCTGCAGCATTCAGCTCTTTATCTCCTGGCTCAGGAGCCAGCTTAGACATTAAACAGCAAAACAGGACAAACTTCACACTGCCTACCTTTCCCAACACTGCTTCCTTTTCTGCTTACCTTGTAACTCTGACACTGCTTTAAAAAAAAATTATTATTTATTTTTACCCTGGCTTGCTGTACTAATTTAATTTTAATTTCTTTCCTTCTCCTCCCCTCCTTGGAATTTCAGAATTAACATTAACTATATAAGCTGCCAATTCTGCTTAGATCAAACTCCCTCCTAAAACAGGGATTGTGCCCCTTGAGTATGCTGCAATTTTTCTGTGCCACCTTTAAGATTTCTTCCTATTTTTTCCCTTCCTCCCCCTGAATGTAGCCTGGGCTCATTGCAGTGCAGTCTCTGTCTTGGTGTTTCCATGGCATCAGCAAAACAGTGGCATTGTCTGGTCCCAGCAGTGTCAGGCTCTGCTGCAAGAGCAGCTCCAAGGCACGTGCAGCTCTCCAGAAATGCAGTCAGGAGGGGATGGGATGCTGCTCCCTCACATTCCTCCTGGTTCCTGCATTTATTCTCTTGGGTGGGGTTTGCTCAGAGAGCTCCCTCCACCTGCAGCTGCCCTTGGGAGCACTGAGGGAGGGGACAGGAGAGCTGAGTCAAACCCTGCAAGGGTTGTGGTCAAAAGTTAAATATTCCTGGGATTACAACAGGAGAGAAGGATGTGGGGAAAATCATGCAGAGGAGTAGTGAAGTCTTTAATTGCAGTGAGGCACAATGTCCTTGAAAGTTCTTTCTGTGCAGGTTTTGGTGAATTAGACCTGTCAGGAAACCAAAAGGTGGAGAGAGCAGTCAGCCTGTGGCTGCTTATCTGCTGAAACCCCCCAAAAGATGAGGAAGAAGCTTAAGGGTTCATTCTGTAAATGACTGTGCAATTGTGTTGTAGGAAGGCAGGGGAGAGGAGACCTGTTAAGCCTAGAACCTGAAATTTGTCTGCATCTTTAATAAATTGTCACCTTGCTCTCAAATGTGGTGATACTGAGAGACCTTGGGCTGGAAAACTCAACAGTGTGAGGTGCTTGCTCAGGGCAGTTCTGAGTGAAAAGCATTTAAAACAGGAAATGTAAAGGCTTGTGCCCATGTGTGCTTCCTTTGCTGGGTATTCTTGCTTTTTCTCCTTGGGAAAGAATGTTTTTTAAGATGACAGATAAGCTGAGGGGCCTTGTTTTCTAGCAGCTACTGTGTTTCCTCCCCTTCCCTTGCTGACCCCATAAATTTCACTCCCTAATTCAAGCTGCCCTCTGCCCTTGCTGTTTAGAGCCTAAGATTAAGTGTTCAGGGTAGCATAAAGAGGCAAAACATGACAGCATGGCTTGCTTCTTACCCTCTATTAAAAAATAACCAGCCAGCAGTAAATCAGCTCCTGCAGTGCTCACAGAGAGTGATGCCACCTGTTTCTCTTGGCTGCAGCAGTTGCTATCATGAGAGGGGATGTGGGGTCACTTCAGGGCTTGTCTTTGTGGGAGGAACGGGGCCATGAATGTGAGTTTGGAGCTTGGAAGTTCCTCTCAGCTCCTTTGCCAGCAGCTGGAGCCAGGAAAAGATCACCAGGTGCCATCCTTGGGCACAGCAGAGCACCCCTGCTGGGGTTTGCTGCCACTGTTGAGGAGAGAGAGGCTTGTTGGAAACTTTCTCTGCATTACCAACTGGATTTTGGTGGAAATCCTGGCTGTACAGCTTTGGCTGGACTTAAAAACGGGAGGGACACATGAAAATTTCAGCTGCTTTGCTTACAGGGCTGTAACTTGTGCTCTGTGTGCTGAGATGGGCAGTTTCAGAGCTACATCCTTATTTTGGAGCTGTGGCACACCGTGACTCACCAGCCCTTCTGTGTAGTGCCTCAGCCACCACGTGGGCTGCGAGAGGAAGTGGAAAAAAGCCTTGCAGGGTGGGGGAACTGCTCAGTAACGGGAGGGGACGATTTCTTCTGAGTCTGCTGGCATCAGCTTTCCCTTAACAAGCCACAGAGATACTTCTCTCATCGTTAGCACGAAATTTTCATCACTTTAAACTTCTTAACAATTGCTCACAAATGCTGTTATTTTTAGATGTTAATCTCCCGTCCCCTTTCTTCCAAATTTGTCCATTCAGCACAAACTGGGTTAGTCCTCACCTTCCCAGCCTGATTGTCCTCACTGGAGCATCCCAGCTGGAGAAGCTGTGGCTGCAGCTCCCAGCAAGGCAGGAGAGGAGATGACTAAAGCAGGCCTGGCTGTGCAGCACACAAAGCTTATAAAAACTTTTCCTGCTGGTCCTGCCCAGAATAAACCTCACTGGCACTGAGTGGGGGCTGTGTCCCCGTTTTTGGAGCCCTATTTGCTGCTGCCCAGAGAATTCCAGTGCAGGATCAGAATGGCTGAAAGAAGTGTGCCCAGCATGTCTATTCTGATGTCTGGAAGGTTGATGAATGACTGATAAGAGAAGTGATAATGGCAAGGGTTTTTTTTTTTTCATATTTTTTCCTCTCGCTTGGACTGAAAACTATTTTTAATAATTTTTTTTTTCCCTGCAGTGGCTTTCTACACTTCCATTTTTGGGGTCCTGCAGCTGCTGTGCCTGCTGACAGCGCCTGTGATCGGATACATCATGGACTGGAGAATGAAAGAGTGTGATGATGGCTCAGAAGAGAATGAGGAGAGCAACGCTGAGCAGTGCGTAGTGTGCCCCACACGGGACATGCAGCCACCTGGCAGGCCCCCTCTGCTCTGCCTTGTGTGCTGTGGGATCAAAGACTGAACAGAATAATGGCTCTGCAGTATAGAAAAGAAAGCCTGAAGGAAGACTTGATAATTGCAGAGGAAAGGAGCAGACTATCTTCCATGTCCACTAAGATCAGTCGAGAAGAGCAAATTTAAGTTGTAGCAGGAGAGGCTCAGACTTCCCTCCTAGCCTAAGAGTAAGAGTAACAGCACTGAAATAATTACCCAGATGTTCCTCAGCTTCCACTGGTGGAGATCCCAGCACCTCCATAGGCAGTTCTGTAACCAGACTGGTGTAGATAGTTGATGTGATGTGTAGAGAATCTTGCTGTGAGTCCCAGCAGCTGCTGGGAGTGTTTGTAACCCAGGTTTTGCTGTCCTTCCAGAGGTGACAAGAAAAAGAAAAAGCGTGACCGTCAGATCCAGAAAATCACCAACGCCACCAATGCCTTTGTATTCACCAACTTCCTGCTGGTTGGATTTGGAATCACCTGTCTTATTCCTAATCTACCCTTGCAGGTGAGTAGGTGAAATGGGTGGGGTGCTGGCAGAATGACAGCACAGTGCCAGGAGAACCAGCGGGTGTTGGCAGGAGGGCTGGGACTGGCACTGCTGGGAAACTTCCATCCTGCTTTGCAAGCCCCACTTTCAGAGCAGAAACAAATAACACTGTGCAGTTTAGATCTCTTGGGAAAACCTGAACAAGCAGCTGTAGTTAAAATGTCACTTGATTCAGAATTTATTTGCGCTTTTAAACTTTTTTGAAGTTTCTGCAGCTGCCCTGTGTGGCAACAAATTCTTGCCCACCAAGATCCTCTCAGCAGTGCCTGTACATTTAAACTGGGCTTGATTTAAGCTGCTGAAGGTTGTAAAAATTTGCAGCAAGAAGCATAACAGAGTGATGTGTACAGCAGCTTATTCCTGCGTCAAATGCTGTGCCCAGTGGTACCTGTGGGATTATAAACCTGTTAAAATATTTATTCTGTGGCACCACCTATTTTTGGCAGAGGAGTTTAGTGATTTTATGCTACACTTAAACACACCTTCATGATGTAGGCAAACATCAGTTTGCCTATGAGCAAGTAAGAGCAGTTTGCTCATTCTTACGTGTTGTCTGCAATAACCTGTGGAAAATTAACTAAATTGGTGGCCATGGAAAAAGCATTGTGATCCTGGCCAGGGGTTGCTGGGGACACGTCCTTGCAGCAGTGCCACCTACAAATGAGAGAGGTCTTGTGTGTGTGCAGAGTAAGGAAAAGCAGTGCCTGGAGACAGGTACAAATTTGTTCCCTCATGCTGATATTTCAGGTTTTGGGTCTGGGTTTCCCAATCCTACCTGAAAAGAACAGCTTTTAGGAATGGTGTTGGGTTCTGGCACACCTGAGTGGATGTTTGGGATGTGACATTTTTCTGCTTCTTTTTTCAGATTCTGTCCTTCATTTTGCACACAATTGTGAGAGGATTCATCCACTCAGCTGTGGGAGGCCTCTATGCAGCTGTGTAAGTCTCTGGTTCCCTATAAGATGTGGCTGGCCAGATAAACTGGTTTGGGATGATGGGCTGTCCAGGGGAGATGGAGATCAGGAATGAGGTCTTCATGGTCAGAGGGGAAAAATGATGCAACTTGTTTCCTCAGTCACTTCTAGGCATGATAACAGCTGGACTGAAATCCCAGGGCTTTCCTTGTTTAGCAACAGAGACAGGAACAGTTATGTGTGAGACTAAACTATTGACATACAGGTTATATAGTAAAAACTCAAGGCTTTTTTTGTCTTGCAATGAGCAGATGTGTGCATGTGCCCAGGTAAAACATTAACAGGACTGAAAACATCACTGCTGCTCTCCTCTGAAGTTGACATTGGTAAAACATTGCTCAAGATACCATTAGTGATGCCTCCTCCCTTTCCCAGGACAGATCACCCATCCTGTTTCCAACTTAGCAAGTTATCAATAGCTGAATCTAAATACTCTCTTCCTCATTAAGCAATGTTTTTGGCCTTGAAAACAGATCTGTCCCTCAGTGCTGGCAGGTAGGACAGAGGAACAAAGAGGAGCTGTTCCCTTTCTGGGAATCTTTGAGAGATTTGTTGGGGTAGGAAGGGACCCCTCAAGACCAAGGTCAGGTAGTGCAGGTGGTCCAAGAGTGCAACTGATTTTGTTTGAATATCTCCATGGATGGAGACTGCACAGACTATTTCTGTCAAAGGTTTAGATCCCAGTGTCTGGGGAATCCAGACTAGACAACACATCTAAGACTTTGCTTCAGAAATGTATAAACTTTTGGTTCCCTGGCAGCCAGAAGCAAAATATTTTTGTCTTGGGCAAGGTAAATAAATGTATGTTGCAGTAAGTATCACCTTACTGGTAAGCTAATCCTATTTGACCATTGCAACTCTGGAACTTCCTGGAGTTGAGGTATTTTTGCTTTGAATGTGACTTTTTTTAATATTTGAAGGTTTTGATTTGCTTCTTTCTTTCCAAGTTTAGTTTAACCTGACTCTTTTTAAATACTGCTCAGTCATGGAAAGAGAAAGATATTAGAAGATTCCTGAAATTTATTTTTCCATTATTATTATCTGATACCAGCACTTGCCAGTCAACAGTGTTGTTTAGTTTGACATAGGATCAGACTTGTCCTCTAAAAAGGAAAACACTAACCTGTTGTGCAGGTTTCACTCACCTCCAAAGGGAGCAAATTGTTATGACCAGATGAAAATGATTGCTCAGGCACTGGTGTTGTCATCTGGATGAAGAAGCCCTGCTTTTAACTTGTAAATATCCACACTCTGCTCCCTGTGCAATAGAAACAGGAGCTGTATAAGCACTTCCACTTGCCCACAGTAGAGCTGCAAAACAAAACAAGTGCTGGATCTGATATTGCTAAAGTCTGAGAGCTCAGGATGAGGATAATCTGAAGAAGAAGGCTCCAGCCTTGGCAGCAGTTCCATTCTGCTCTCAGGAGCAGTGTGACACCACAGGGTGTTTGTAAATACCCTGTAAAAAGGGGCAGTTACCCAGTGCAGGAGGGAGTTCTGCACATTATGCCTGTCTTGGGCCTGTGCTCTCATGTTGGTCTTTGTTGTTACTGGACTGGGAATGTAATCTGACCTGGCTGATATGAAGTCAAGGTGACACATAATAATGCTGTTGCTTTCTTTGTTGACAGATACCCCTCGACTCAGTTTGGCAGCTTGACAGGGCTGCAGTCGTTGATCAGTGCCCTCTTTGCCCTCCTGCAGCAGCCTCTCTTCATGGCACTGACAGGACCTTTGAAAGGAGACCCCCTCTGGGCAAGTTCTTCTAAGTTTTGATGTGAAAGCTTGGGGGTTAAGATGTTTTTTGGCTCATTGAAGGACTCCTGTGCATGGACCAAGGTTAAAACCAGCTGTAATTTTACGTGTCCCTCAGTCTGCTGTTACCTTGGTGCTGTCCAGGAGACCTTTCCCTGTGTGAGTAATGAGTCCCTGGGCAGGAAAGCCAGTAACCCTTATGGTGAATGGAAAGGGAGGAAGGGAATGCTTTCCACTAACACTTTATGTGGTGAGTCAGTATCTGTCAGGTTAAAATGGGTGAGTGTGAGCAGACCTCAAAACTGAGGAAAAACAATGTGATGCTTGAGAGCTACAAGCTCCAGTAAAAATTTTGGATTGCTGATGCTAATGTCCAAAAAGCCAAATGGCTGTTGAGGGCAGGGCTAATGTGGTGCCTTGCTGAGAGTCTGGGCAGCTCAATAAAATCGTGACATGGGTGATCCTGGAGAGAATTCTGGTTTTTAGGCTACATGTGCCCATGCCTGTTGCTCTTCAATCAGCAAACTTGGTGTGTAACACCTGCAGCTCCAGGTGTTCTGTGGAACAAGACTCCCACAGCCATAATCCAGAGTGACAAACTCTTGCAGCATTTAGCTTGTACACACAAGGTTCTCTGAGTGTAAAATGAAAACAGTGGGGGATGTTGCCAGCACAGGGAGCAGGGCGTCTCCTGCTTTGCCCACAGCTGGTGATGTGGGCTGGGCTCTGACACTGCTGCATGCGTGGCTGGGTTGTTGTCTTCCCCTAACCAGCCTAATTTTGGTTTGCTTTCCTCCTGCAGGTGAATGTTGGCTTGCTTGGCCTGAGCCTCCTGGGTTTCTGCCTCCCAATCTACCTGGTCTGCTACAGGCGCAGGCTAGAGAGAGAAAAAAAGCAGAAGATGGAAGATGCCAAACTTTTCTTCAAAATCAATGGCACTCCCACTGAGGAAGCCTTTGTTTAAACTGGTGCTTCATGTACAACCTCCCCTGTACAAGTTCCTACCACATCTGTGGGTTCTACCTGTGGTGTAAGCCAGGACATTTCTCCCCTGGCTCTGCCAGTCTTTGCTCATCACTGGAGTGAGGGCTGGACATCATGACTGAGATTTCCTCAGATAATGGCAGGAGGAGACTTCCCACTCCTTATTCCAAAACATGGGACACTTTTCCTTTTTATAAAGGCCACACAGCTATTGTGTCTTAAATTATCCCCTGATCACACTCTCCAGCAGCAGAGAGTTTGCATGGGAAACTGGGGAGAGAAGGAATAGAGGGATGGGGGAAGAGGGAAGACAGACCATAATTTGAGTTTGCAAATGTAACACACTGCAGTCTGTTTTCTCCCCTTCTTCCCCCAAACTTGGCTGACACAGTCTCGGATGCAAGCTGCACTGTCCTCCCTCCCCAAGGCTTCATAATGGTCTTTCTGCTTGATGTGTAGCTGGAACCAGTGGTTTTACTGTCTCTCCAGACATATCCCTGTTTGAGGCAGGGAAGGGGTTTTTATTCCTATGTGTATGAGCACAGCTTCAGTGTTTTGCTAAATGTTGGCTGCTAGCACTGACAGCTCCCAAACCTTTTATCACTTCAAATGACACAGACTGTGAGCAATGGATCTGCCTTCCACACTGAAATGAAGAGCCTACAGTGGACTGCTGGTCCTAGACCAAGCCTTGGGAGGCCTGGAATTCCTCTTCTTCCCGGTTGGCAAACTCACCTGTACTTGTTTTGAACTGTCTGCGGTCCTGGAGCCTCTGAGATAAGAATTGGATCTCGTTTACCGATGAAGTGCTTTGAGACTTTGTTGCCTTTTGCCTCTCCTTCCCCCCTGAGATGCCCCTGGGAGGGGAGCAGCAATGTGTGTTCAGTAAAAAGTGGAGAGGCTTCTTGAAGCTGAGTTCTGGGGCTTCAGATACCTTGGTGTTCCCATGAGCTGACCTGCTGGTGCAAAGAACCAGGAGTGCAGAACACTCCTTTGTGTCTGGTAACTGGATCCTGTGGACATATGGCAGGGTGATGTGGTGATGTCATTTTTCCTTTAGCCATAGCTGATTTACCTTGCTGTGATAATGGTCACCCTGCTGCTGAACACCAGGTTACTGTGACTGACCAAAATGCTGCCACTTTGGCTGTTCTAGGAGCCTTCTACAATGTTGATGCTCTGTCTGGACAGAGCACCTGGTGATTGATTGTAAGGTGAAGCTGCTGTCAGAGCAATATGTGTGGATAAAGGTGCCCCAGGGAGGGAATACAAAGGGAATTTTTAACCTGCTTATTTTTATAGAGGTTTTCCTTGTCTAAAGCAGACTTTTCTGCCCTTAACCTTCTTGTTGAGGTCGGCAGCTCAGGCTTTGTAGCCCTGTGTTAAGCACTGCACCGAGTGCAGCTGCTGGGAGCAGGGCTGTGCAGGGCTGAGGAGGAGCATCGACTGCACTGGGCTGAGCTGGTGGCTGCGGGAAGGTTGGGGCAGAAATAAAACAATTCTGGAGAAATAGTGGTGGTGTTTTACTGCAAAGCCTGCCAGGGGCTCAGACACTCAACTATGTCTGCTTGGAAAAGTCCAAGAAACAGCACCGTGCTGCGACCTTCCTGCGACAGATGAGCTGGAAGCTGAGCTGGCTGCGAGCTCCTTCGCCGGGGTTTGGGGGAGGCAGAACCTCAGGCCGGGCAGGGTTTCGGCTCTGCTGCAGCCCCGCGGGTCCCTCCCTGGCTGGTGGCAGGGCCAGCGCTCCGTGGGCCGGCAGCGCCATCTCCAGTCGCTGCTGCTCCGCACTCCGTGGTACCTTTTAGTCTTCACTCCTTTCAGGATTCGCCACTTGAGGATTTTACACATCTGTGATTTTTTTTTTTTTTTTAATGTGTTGCCTTTATTAAATGTGTTTGTTTCAAGGCAGATTTACTGCCTGCTGTCAACACTGTATTCTTCTGGAACTTTTTGTGTTTTGGTGATGATTTAATGAGCTTTCCATCTTTTTTTGAGCAATAATTAAGAAGGCAGAGTTTTGATTAATTTTGCTGGTCACCTGTCTTGTCTCAAGTACATGTTCAGAGATACACCAGCAGTGGTACAACCAGAGGGCTTTCTGCAGATTTCTGCATTTTATATTACAATACTTCTAAATATTTTGAGAAGAGTCCTGCTCAGAGATACTCATGACATGACAATGACAGATTAAGTATCAGGTGTGTGAGCCTCCATCCATAGTCTCAGTGTCCTAAAGCAGAGTTGGTGTTTTGTGTGCTAGCCAGCATTACTTCCACCTCAGTTTCAGAATTGAATGTGATTTCTTCCACTCTTATGTCACTTAAATGCCTGTTACAAATGTCTCAGCAAAATAGTGGAATAGAGAGTGGCAAATTTTAATGAAGTCTTAGTGGAGATGCTGCTGCCTTTTAATTGAGCTGCACATTCTTCAAAGAACACAATTTTATTTCTGCCATCTACCTCCCTACTGCAATTCCCAGATCCTGCCCTTTATTAGGGATATCTTCAAATCCAGTTTCACCTGATAAACTGGTGAATGTGTGTGCTTAATGTCAGAAGCTGCTGGTCAGCTGTGAGGAGAGCTCATGTCCTGGTGGGCACAGAGGGAGCTTTTAGCTGTTCAGGGTTGAACAGACAAATGGGATCATGTTCTGGGGCCATGCAAAGTCAAACTGGAATTCTTTGCTGCAGAATGTAGTGGGGAACAGAAGGATCAATGTTTTTAAAAGAAGAGGCTGGTTAAACAATGGTCTGATGCATCCACTAACTCAGGGAGATTTTAAGTTGCTGTAAATATGAAAGTTATGCCAAGGAAAGATACTTGTGTGCATGTTCTGTCCTGTAAGAATTGGCCAAAGCTGGAGAAAACACGCTGGGCTGAAGTGAAACGCTGCTCTGATTGAATGGAGTGAAATTTATTTTGACAGTTGTGAACCAAACTAACTTCAGTCTCATATTTATCTATCAAAAACCTGTACCTGCATGCAGGATGTGCAAACACTCTACTGATTGTGACATAACTGCTTCAGAGCTGCACCTCCTGCAGCAGTGGGGTCACTATTGCAGGAGGGCAATATTCTGCCTTCAGATTGTTCCAAACATTGTCTTGCACAGCAGAAACACAGCTGGGGTGGTCCTGTCACTGTAGTTGATCAGGGGCAGTTTGCCTCATCCTTTGATGCTTAGGGAAATAGAGTTGTATACAATAACATGATATACATTTGGAGTGGAAAACAGCATTGCTGCTTCCCAGCTGAGTGTTTCAGGACCAAGACAATACCTGGTGCACAAGATACCTTGTGGGAAAAATGAATGGGCTACCAAAGAGTATAGAGTCCCAGCAGTTAGCATCAATAATGCATTTATCTGTAGAACTCAAATAGAGGTCAATGTGTTGAACTGCTCTCATAATTCCTAAAAGATGAATTTGTAGGACTTGGGAGGGTTTTTGTGTCCTTTGTACCTCCTTACCCTGATCCATATGGGAAGTGCAAGGAGGGTGGCCATGGGAGAGAGCTCCATGGAAGCAACCCCAGCTGAATGTAAAGAGCAGAAACCTGATCTGTGAGTACCTCAAAGGTGTTGCTGTGTAAAGCGATTGCACCTTCTGCAGACACTGCTCCCAGGCTCTACAGCCTCTCACATGCATTTAATCTGCATTTGTATTAAAATAAAATTGAATTCACAGAGTGGGGAAGGGAGGGTGACAGCTTTTTGCTTTCACTAATCTGTCAGAACCTAAGCCCTGTTGACACAGCCTTTATAGCACTAATGCAATGACACAATGTCAGAAGTAGCAGAGAAAATCTGTGCTGTTCTGCTTAATAGGACACTTACACTATGACAGTCACTGAGTAAAGCTATATCTGGATCCTTGAGATGAAACTGGACACAGATGTCTGGGAAAAAAAGGGGGCAAATCTTGCTGAGACACCAATTTAAGTGCAGTGCTGCTACAGCAACTGAAATGTTCAACTCCCACAGCAAAGCCTGGCCTCTTCATGCTCTGTCTGCAAAGGAAAATTGCAGGATAATGAGATTTTAACTAAGTCCGTAAATCACTAAAATGTTTTCAAGTAGGAGATTTCCCTCTTGACAGGCTGATGAATTTGGAAAATATGCTACAAAATTCAAAGCAGATACTGTAGGGTAAAAGGAATGAAATCTCTAAACTACACATATTTGCTACTCTTTTTTTTCCCCCTTTGATTTTTTTTTTCTGGATCTGCATAGCTTGAAATTCCCTACACCCCATTTTAAAAGTGCAAAGTGCTCATAATGGAAAATAGTATTACAGTGCAACAGATTCCTGCTGGCAATGGACTGGTTTGGGGTTTTTTATTAAAAAAAAAAAAAAAAAGGCCATTTCTGATTCACAATGTTATCTTCTCTGGAATAGCTGCAACAATGATGTGTTATGTAGCTGCAATCTTACATGTTAATTATAAAACCCACAGGTCCTGGTTTTCTTCCATGTGCTGCCAGCCTGTCTCTGTGCAATCTGTTTTTACCAGGTGTCCTGTGCTCCACATTGTCCTCCTACTGCTGTTTGTCACTTCCTTGTGCCTGACCCTCTGTCACCTGCTTTTTATTCTGGAGACAATCTTCTCTTTCAGAAAACCCACTCTTTAACCTGCCAGCATTACCTCTCCCACCTTTTCCTGTCCACAGAATTTTTTTGTAGCGTTTGCCGAAGTGGAACTGTAAACTCCTCGGGGCAGGCCTGTGTCATCTTCTCTGTGTTTGTAAGGTGATGTGCACTCTTGCAGTACTATCTCAAAATAAAGTGATAATAAGTTAATCATTAGTTTTCCTTCTGAGGGTGAACATAATAAAAGCACTGGTTGCTTCCTAACGAGATTATGGAACCATGAATGCTTTGAAGGGTGGCATCTGCCAAAGGGCAGGACCCAGGTTGAATATTTCCTTGACTCTTCTCTAGGTTAGGAGCTAAGAGCCACTGCCAATTAATTTTTTCTTCTCCAAATGAGTATAATCTTGGAGAAAAAAAAACCTCAAACCCTGTAGGTGGCGGGTTGAGAATGAGATTGAGCTCAGCTATAGTGACAAATGAACAGTGTGGCCTTAGAAGGGATCACAGGTGTCAACAGCAAAGCTGCACGTCTCGGTTATCCATGCCTTAGCTTGGTGATGCTAAATCTGTGGTGGTTTACTTTTCCAATCCAATAATGACAATCATTGAAAATGCCATAAATCATGACCTAGTGACAAGGTGAAGCCCATAACCTGAAGCCACTCACCCTGTCTGACTGTAGCACTGACTTAAACCCTGGCTATTTGCGTAAATACCCCGGTCACTCGTCATTTCCCTTCCCCACCGTCCCAAAAGAGGGGGGCCACGAAGTTGACAAAAATACTGGAGCATGTCCCCTATTGAGACAGGCTGGGAAATTTGGGTTAGTTCAGCCTGGAGAGGAGAAGGTTGTGTGGAGACCACACAGCACCTACCAGTATCTGAAGGAGCTACAGGGGAGCCAGAAAGGGACCCTTTGTCAGGCACTGTAGTGATAGGACAAGGAGGAATGGGTTCAGACTGGAAGAAAGGAAATTTAGGTTAGATATTGGGAAGAAATTCTCTGTGAGGGTGGGGAGGCTCTTGCACAGAGTGCCCAGAGAAGCTGTGGCTGCCCCATCCCTGGAAATGTCCAAGGCCAGGCTGGACAGGGCTTGGAGCAACCTGGGCTGGTGGAAGGTGTCCCTGCCCATGGCAGGGGATGGAACAGGACTTTTGGGTCTTTGGGGTCTTTCCCAAGTGAAACCATTCTGTGATTTAAGGAGAACCTGCTGGTGGCAGGAGGGAGATTTCTGGGAGCTCTGCAGGGAGACTTCTCGGGAACCCCAGTCCCGAGCTGAAACCAGTAACAACCATGAGGTTTACAGCTCTTGAGAGAACCTACAGAAGCAGCTATAGTTTAAAATGAGTTGTTGAGTTGATCCAGAACAACCTGAGGGCTTGCCAGGAGTTCGCTGCCAGCGGCACTGCTGGGAAGACTGCGGCACTGTTCTGGCAAGCCCAGCCTTGAAACTGAACCAGCACCAGGCGCTTTACACGTCATGAAAAAACCTAAAAAAAAAAAACCGCAAACACCAAAAACCCAGGCGTTTTAATTTAAGACGTCAGCGGCGCTCCAGGCAAAAGCCCGTGAGGGAGGCGCGCGCTGCCTGAGGGGGCCGGGGGGCGGGCAGAGCTGGGCGGCCCCGCCCCGCCCCGCCCCGCCCCGCGCGCGGCGCGGAGGTGACGCAGCCGTTGCCGCAGAGACGAACCGCCCCGGCCCCCCCCCGCCGGCCCGGCCCCCCCGTCCCGGTGCGGCGCGGCTCGGCTCGGCTCGGCTCGGCTCGGCTCATCCCGCGCAGCGGCTCCGGGACGCGCCTCCTGTCACCTTCAGCGGCGCTGGCCCGGGCGGGAGGCGCGCGGCGGCGCCGCCATGGTGCTCATCAAGGAATAGTGAGTGCGGGGAGCTCCCCCATTCCGGTCCTCCTGAGCCCCTCCGGTCACCTCCGAGCGCGCCCGGGGCCTGGCGTGGTGACGGCCGCGGGTGGGCGGCCCGGCCTTGCCCCGCACTGCGGCCGCGGAGAGGGAGGGAGGGAGGGAGCGGGGAGCGCCGTGAGGGCCGCGGCGGCGGCGGTGGGGGCGGCATGAAGGTCACGGCGGGGCGGGGGCCGCGGCTGCCGGCGGGCACCGGGGCCGCTCGGCCCCTCTGCGGCTCCGCGGGTGCCGCCGGTGCCTCCGCGGGCGGCTGTGCCGGGTGGGTGTTGCCGGTGCCCGGGAGCCGAGGGCCGAGCGGGAGCCCGCTCAGTGCCGGCGGTT